GTTGAGAGGTGGGGGCAGGGGTGATTATTTTTTTTTTTTTTTAATGTTTGCGTTTTAGTCTGATCTTGGATTTGCCAAAGACGGATCTATCTTGGCAGGCAGTGGCCTGGCAGTGAAGCATCTCACATGCTGTCTGAGTTTGAAAGAAAAGAGGGGGTGCGGAATGGGAGAAAAGAAAGAAGGAATAAAGTGACACCAAAGTTTTGACTGGAAACTCTGCCATTCTGGACAAGAGCGACTGCTGAGAAGTTGAACTGTTCCACTTAGTGTGGACCAGCTGAATAGCAGCCAAGGTTTTTTTCTGCCCTTTTCAGTTATTCATATCACTCCCACCATAACAGCCCTGAGGAGCTGCATTTTTCGTCTGTGTAAACCCAGAAGACAGTGTGTCTATTGACCCTCTTGCTGTTTCTGGAATGCGTCTCAGAAAATTGTTCTCAGCAAAATCTCCTCATTCTTTTCTGCATTGGAGACCAAAAGGACAGCAAGTGGACATGGTTTAAAAAAATTTCTCCTTTATCACTCTATCACCAGTTGCATTTCATATCAGACAGGGCTTGGGGGGGAGAAGGTATATCTAACACTGTACAAGGATTTGGATTTTAATTCTTTTTAGAGGCAGCATGTAACATGTAGCAGCTTGATAACGCTTTCTCACACCTTCAGGGTTAGCGGTGCCCACCATATTCCCTTTCTCTGTTAAATTTTCCTGCTCAAAGGCATGAAGTATTAGGATTGATTTAATTCAGATTTATGTGTAAAGCTTTACTTGTTCTTCATGTTTGCAATGACTATGGAGATGTTCCTGTGTCTGGAATTCTTTGATCTCGTTCTGCTCTTCAGTGACTGCTGAAGTTTCACCATATTGCTGAACTACAGGGGGTTTCACACAGGTGATGAGCAGGTTCAGACTAAATACAGGTTACTTCAGAGTAAAAGTGTTGCTCGTTTCTTATTTTAAGGGGGAAACAAACACTTCCGTAAGTACTTCAGTCATGAGAAGTTTTAGACCATTGGTGTCCCACCCTGGCATCTGCCTCTCTGGTCTCCTGTTAGAGTCATTTAAACATCTCAAATTAACTTTTGATGAAGTTTGAAATTCTCTGGTTTTTGCAACTCAGGGGTTAAGTAGAAAATTCTGCAGGAAATGTGGTTAAAATAATCTTGAGTAAATATCTTCGTGTTCTTCCTGCTGCCTTAAGAGAGAGATGCCATAGTGGGTGTTGCAGGCTCATATGGCTGTTGAGTTTAGTGTTGTTTTTCACCTATGGTGGGTGCTGTTGAGGCCTGGCTTGGTCTTGTTTGTTTGTTTTTTACTAAAGACAGCAACAGTTCTACTGATTTTTTAAAAAATCAACAGTTAGAAAATTATTACTGCTCTGCAGTTTGCTACTGCCCTGCATTCTCCCCCATCATCTAGCAAGGCTGTCTAAAGAAAAGATAAAAGATTGGTTTTGATTGTATTCTATGGCAGTTTTGTCCAGGTTCTGTGAGAGGAGGTCACACATAAGAAGCCTTTCCTGCTGCTAGTAAGATTTTACCTAGTTCTGTTATCAGAGCTGTGCTTCCTTTACCCACAGCGTTCTCTGAGTTACAGAAAACACTCCCCTGGGGTGACTGTGTTTAAATCTGATTGCCATGGCAGTGGGAACCTGAAGCTTAACCTGTATGCTCACTGCAGTGTTAGTGGTGCTGCAGGTACTGGGCTGTCATTCATTTTTGGGAACATTTTATAAGCATTTTGACATAGGTGACCTTATAGTTTTGTTGCTGCCATGTGAGTTCAGATAAAAACTGCCTTAACAAAACCAGATTTTAGAGAGTAAGGGATGTGTTTGTACACTGTGCATGTTTATTTGGGGACAAAAAGATGTTATAAAGAGATGTTTGGGGTTGGGGGTGTGCAAAATCTGTGTGTCTTTTTACAGCATCAGGCATTTAAAAGCAAACTGCTGCTGTTCTCCCCACAAATCTCTCAGGTTTCCTTTATGCTTTTTGCTTTTTGATGTTGCTGAAAAGTGACCTCATTCTTTCTTTCTTTCTTTCTTTGAAGAAGGGAGGGGATTTTTTTGTTGCATTCAGAGTACCTTGCCTTGAATCTCTTACAACTGAGCAGTCTGGCAGTTTGTAGGAGATCTGGATTGTGGTTTCACATGTGGTGCTGGAAATGTGAGCTCTTGTTCAGTCATCCCTGCCCCGTTCAAGGAGAGAGTGTGTTAACTGAAAGCTGCATCACAGTATCGTTCTCTTATATCTAAAGTTGTGGTCTGGTTTTCCAGAGCTCAATTATTCCAAAGCCTTTCCTTCTGGAAATACTGTTCAGAGAAAATATTTTGCCATTAACTCTAAGAAGCCCCCCCAAGAAAACCTCCTCTGAAGCTGTTTGCATGCACAAGTGAGCAGTAAAGAAGGCCAAACTTTATTTTCTGTAAAGCTCAACTATAAATTACTCCTGAAATAGCTCCTGAGAGTCTCTGCAGCTCCAGGCTACTGCATCCATTACTCTAAATGTGAAACTTAACATCAACTCATTTTTATCACTCAGTGCTTCAGCAGAAATCAGGAGCCTCTAAAATGTTATTCTGTTGATAGTAGAAGTGATGATGTTAGAGTAAGTGACATACTCAAATGAAGTAATACAAAAATTCTGGGCTTTTAAAAAATATTCTTATTTTAAGATCCAAGTACCTCATTGGAAAAATATTTAAGCTGTTAAAAGCTTGCCAAGTGCATTAAATGGCCAGGAGAAACAAAACATCACTAGGGCTCTCACACAAAAATTCTTGGTTTTGGAATGCACCCAATTTTATTTACTCATCTGCTTCCCCCTCTTATTTGGGGCCAGTTAAGATCATTTTGGAAAGTGAGTGTCTACTCCTGTATACATTTAGCTCAGAGTTACTTTGTCGTGTCCAGCCACTGAGTTTGCTCACGACAATGAACTCTGGCTTAATGCTTGCTGGATCTGCCTGGAAATGTGTAATAATGGATTTCTTGTTTTTCTGCTTCAACAATAGAGTCAAGGGACAAATTCCGGAGTTGCACTATTTAAAATCATAAAAAAAAAAAAAAAAAAAGAGAGAGAGAGACAGCTGTATGAGTGGGAGTGGGGCTGGTGTACAGTCAGCTCAAACAATGGGTTGCTCTTAGGTAGATGAGGAGAATGGGCCTCACAAATGGATATTGATCTGCAGCAGCTGGGATGTGAGGAAGGGGTTGGGAGAGGAGCCTGCACCGCTCCTCCAGCTGTCCCACCCTTCCATGGCTGACTTTGTCTTCCTGGTAAATTGGTGTTTGTAGTACAAGGCTACACTGTTTTCCACTCGCATTTAAGGTGGCTGTGTTCGAGTGTGTGGATGGTAAAGTTTAATGAGCTTTATAGCACTTGGCAGGGAAATGATTGATGTGGCTTCTTGGAATTTGATCGCAGCAGGTAAATATTCTGAAGTTTACACTCATCCTTTGCAGGAGTTAGTGGACACTTAAAACTCCTGGGGAACAAGCAAAGTTGAAGGTCTGTCTTCTAGTGGATTGATTCATTTGGTTATAGTCACATTCTTTTCCATTTGATGCTACTGTTTCGTTCCTCTGATGCACTTGGTGCCCAGTATCTCCTCACTCTGCTTGAATTATTTCGGTAGAAGGAATGTGGAGGGGATCTGGGAAATTCCTACAATTGACTGCAAAAGCAATAGCTGAATTGAGGTGAAGTAAATGATGAGGTGAGATGTGCGAGCTTGACAAATTGAGATTTGAAACCCTCTGGCAGAATTTGTTACCTTCCATTTATGATTACTAAAATGTTCCATGATTTGGTATTTCATGGACTTATTGTCAGGAAACTTACTGTCTGCTTGGAACAGTTCAAAGAATAACCCTGATCTGAACTGGTTTTAATGGGATCCCACTTGAAATATGCTACAGTTCTTTGCCATGTCGTGTTCCTGAAACACTCCGAAGTGCTCAAAGTGATTATTTTTTTAATTTAAAATTTAATTTTAATATTAAATTTTTAAATAACCCCCTTGTCTTAAGGGGTTATTCAGAAATTGAGCAGCAGAACTCTGGCCAGGTGAGGGGGAGCTTCAGTGACAGGAGCAGGACAGGGAGTGAAGGCTCAGGGATGTAGGAAGGGAAGAGAAGGAAGAGCCACTGGCAAGGAAGGAAAAGGCATCTAAACCAAACAGATGGGACAGGGAGTTAGGGAATAATATTGGGCAGTGAAACAGATGACAGAAGGCCTTGGAAAGCAGAACTGTAAGGGGAAGAATCTGAAAATATAAAAGGGTCACTCAGGGACAGATTATTCTAGGGAAAGAAGTGAGATTAATTGCCCAGGGCTCTGCTGTGTTGGGTAGCAAAACAAATCATCTGTGTGGGTAAAAATAGGAAGGGAGTCATGTCTCAGCTGCTGCTCAGGCTCCCCATGCCTTGTGAGCTTCATACCAGAGCTGTTGGAGGGAGTGTGGGTAAAGGACTCTGCAGGATACACAGAGTTAAGATGTTTTGCCGTGATTGTGTTGGCCAAGGCATGGGAAATGAGACAAAACTGTGCTGGGTTTTTTCCTCACTTCCCTTTCCCCAGAAAATACTGCTCAGCAACAGGGAAGCAGTTCATTAGAGGAAAGATGGTGCCATCCAGCAGGGCATATGTGGAGCAGGAAGAGTGTGCACAAATGTGCTGAGAAGGTGCCTGTCCGGTGGGCAGGCACAGGGACAAGCTTGTTTTGGTGTTTGATATGTGTGTGATGAAGGTTGTTCATGGAATGCAAAGTAGTTCATGGAAACAGCACCTTGTAACACAAGAAAGGAACAGCAGCACTGCCCACACTGCAGCTCGTGCCTGGGGAGATGAACTCCTTGACAAAACATGATGAAACCAAAAGCTGGAGTGTGCTGAGTCCTGTATCCTGGTGTTCCTGGCTAGTAAGATGAGGAGGACAGCAAATGCAGTTGCCTTCCATGTAGTAAATTATAAATTTCTTTGGGTGTTTCTTCAGGCAAGACAGCAAGCCCAGCTGCGACATCAGATGGCAGAAGACAGCAAAGCAGAATATTCTTCCACCCTACAGAAGTTCAACAGTGAGCAGCACGAGCATTACTACACACACATACCAAACATCTTCCAGGTAAGGGACACTGGCATGGGTCTAGAGTAGCTCATAGTTCTGTGATGAGAACAGATGGTCACGTTGCACATCACCTCAAGTCCCTGACTTTTACTTTTTGCTAATTTTTTGGGTCATTCTTAGCAAATTTTACGTGCAATCTGACACCCCATGAGATGGTAGGATAAATTATTTCGGTTTTTTAGACTAGATATCAAGGGATCAATAATATATGAGGAAGGTGACATTGAGCTGTCATGACAGATTACGAGAGCCTTTGGAATCCTCACAGCCTGGCTCTGTCCAACTCTTGTGCCTGTGCAGCTGGGGATGAGAACATCATTTGCATTGTTGGGGCAGGAGTCAGCTGGGCATCGTTGCATCTCACAGCCCTTTATAACCTGTGCTCAAATCACACTCCACAGATGTTTAAATGTAAGGCACAGTAATTCTGCAGCAGCTGAATGCCAAAGGGTTTAGTGCTGATTATGTCTTAAGGTGCCTAAAGAAAAGGCAGTAGAGGAAGAATAAAAAAAACCATCCCATTTATTGTGACTGGAGACCTGAATTTGTGCTTGGCTGAACGAGCTGAGATTAATGCAGTAGAACAGAAGTTCGAAATGACTGTTCCATTGTAATGGGTCATGAGCATCAAAAGTGGAAAATACAATCTTTTTAAGGGAGGAAATGTCACATGCTTGTCATCAGATGAGAAATAGCTGATATTTGCGTAGCAAACACGCACTTTCCTACCCATTGCTGGAACTTCTGAGCCAAGTGGGCACCTCCTCTTTTGCCCCGTGGTGTTTCAAACCAGTGCCTTGAGATAAGTTATTCCTGGAGTCAAATAGAACATTTTTTTGCAATACATTTGTGTGTAATGGAGGAGCTGGTAAGCACTCCAATGTGTAGCTGGGCGTGTTGAAGTCCTGCTGATGTGCCCTTTTCCCTGTCAGTGCCCCAGTAAGCTCTGGTGCTTTCTTTCAGATTTTGAAATAAGTTTGGGGTTTTTTGTAAAGAATTGGTGTTGCTTGTGGATCAGTCAAAGCAATGGGGATTTTTAAGCTGATGGTGTTCCATAGGATTCCTGCAGTCCAGTGTGTGAAACAGGCTGTTCCTGTTCATGCCCTTCTGTATCCTGTTGTAATTTGTCATAATAGAATTATGCCACATCCAGTTTCCCTTGTTGTAAATGAGGGGCCTGTGGAATAGATGCTCAAGATCTTGGCACTGAATCCACTGAGCAACGAGGAGCATATGTTGGGAAACCCTGGTGTGAACAACACATGATGTATTGTGCATCAATACGTGATGTATTGCATTGTGAACTATACATGATGTCTAGGACTGCTTGTAAACCAAAAATTACCTTCTAGGGAAAAGGAGAAGGGGAGACATCAAAATTTTTACTTCCTTGGGTTCTGCAGTGGAATGAAAATAAGATCTCTCAGAGCATGCACAGAAAATGGATTTTTTGTTGCAGAAATTCTCTTTAAAAGCCTTAGGAGCCAATCCTTACAAGTCCAAAGCTGGGGTTTCGGCAAATCAGCAATTTTTAACATAAAAAGTTAATTGAAAAATTTCCAGTAATAGTAGAAGAGATTACTTTTAGAACATCCTGAACATTTAGAACATTTTGATGTTTGAGGGGACAGCATCACTTGGTGCCTTCCTGAGAACAGCTGTCCTAGTTTGTCCTGAAAAATATATTTAAAACAAAAGTTTTAAAGCAGCTGATGTACCCTGGGGAGGAAAACCGGGTGAAACTGTGAAGTTAATCTTGATGTTTGATCTGAATGAAATGTAACATTTTAGAAAATACAAGAGATGGAGGAGAGGAGGATCGTGAGGATAGGTGAGTCCATGAAAACCTTCGCCGAAGTCGACCGCCAAGTGATCCCCATCATTGGCAAGTGTCTGGATGAGATAACAAAGGCTGCAGAATCAGTGGATCACAAGAATGTGAGTGTTGCGTTGTTTGCCTTGCTGATTGTCGTCTTTAGTGTTGATCTCCTGTATATGGAGAATTAAATCCTGTGTCCAGGCTGCAGCACCAGAGCTTTGCAGTCGGAGAACTAAACCAAAGCACAGCTTCGTGTCCCAAGCTGCTTTGTCTGAGGCAGGATGTGCTCAGATTATTTCCCCAAATCTACTTAATACCCAGAAATGCCTCTACTGCCATGCTTGTTATTTTTAAGATATCATCCTTTTAGGAATATTCTCTCCTTTTGCCGGGATAGTTACTTTTTGAAGTGTTGTAATTGAAAAATAGGCTTCTGCATAGAATAAGATAATGTTGGATAATTTCAAAGTTGGTTTCTATGTCTCATAGTCAGGAAGCAGAGTTTCAGAAATATCTTCATTCCAATTAGTTTTATAATAATGAAAATCTTCAGAGGATTGGCTGCATCAACTATTGCAAACAACTGGCAAAAATCTTCCTGTAAAGCCTTTCTTTGCAGATTAAGGGTTTGCTGGCAACCTGTAAATGAGCAAACCTTGCCTTCTGAGCATCACTGTGGGATGCAAAGAAACCTTTCTGAGAAAAAGGCTGGTAAAGAGCTCGGTTGAGCTTCCTGACGTTCAGTGACCACAAGGGCAAATGTGTTTTCTGTTTTGTTTGCAGAATGATCTGCTCCCTCCCTACACCAAATCTCTCAGCCCTGCTCATGGATCACATTAGTGCTTCAAACACAGCATATGTCTGACTGGCTGTTTGAATTTCCCTTACATGTTTCTCACTGGCATCTTTTCTGAGCTGTTCAGTGCCCAGAGCCATGAATTGGCAGCATAAGCCCAAGGCTGAAGTTTTGAAATGGATCCTCTCCTCTCTGTTCAGCAACTGCTCTCACAAAGAGCAGCACAGGAAACCAAGGAGTCTGACAATTATTCTCTGAGTAGGGAAAACAGGGAACTGGGGCACAGATTCCTGTGTTAGAACAACATATCCTGCTTTTGAGGCACAGCTTTTGGTGCTGCATGGTGAAATCGTGCTGGGGAGATTCATCTCTCAGCCTCTGCTCTGCTTGAGTCTTCAAGTGAGGTCTTAGCAAAACACACGGCTGGCTGTTTGAATCAGGGTGAATTTTATGTTCAAGTCGGTCTCTGTTGCACACAGAGAAGTCAAATTGGTGGCTCCTGCATGTGGCCTCTATTTTATTGAGTAGTGTGAAGAATCAGAATGGCATATTGGGTCAGATTTAATGCTTTCTGTGCAATATTTAAGCTGCAGAGAATAAAGTTCTGCCTCATGCCCACTTTGCACAGGGACCGTTCTTTCAGGCTCAGTTACTAAATGTGTAACCATGTAGATAGGATTATTTTATGCCCTCACTGAAGTGTTCAGAATTCCTGATAATAGTAATAGAAACTGTCTGGAATTAGCTGGAAGTCCTGGACAGCTGTAACTGTGTTTCTAATAGTTTTAAATGTTTTCTTTTTTTTCCCGTTTCTCTTTTCTAACCACTTGAGCAACACAAAGGTCGTGTTGCAAGGGTGAGCTGTGGTGACTGCCAGGTGAACCTGTGCAGAACCCGATTCAGAAGGCTCTAGCAGCAGATAAAACTAATCTGTTATGGACTTTGGAGTTCCTGTTATGACATTATCTCTGTGATATATGGAGCATACTGGTTATTTTTAGCCTCATTGTAGTGGAAGGATGTTTTGAGTAAATGGAAAGAACGCTGTAAAATTAAGAGGAAAAAAAATGAAAAACATCGTGCATAGAATAAAATACCAGTGGGGAATTTAATATAACTCTGTGTAGACTCTTATAATCACAGAATGGTTTGTGTTGGAAGGGAATATAAGGATCACCTCATTCCACCCTCTGTCATGGGCAGGGACACCTTCCACTCTCCCAGGTTGCTCCAACCTGGCCTTGGACACTTCCAAGGATGGGGCAGCCACAGCTTCTCTGGGCAACCTGTGCCAGGGCCTCCCCCCCCTCACAGGGAAGAATTTCTCCCTAATATCTAATCTAAACCTACTCTTTTCCAGTTTAAAGCCCACTAAATTTCACAGAATCTGTGAAATTCTTTCAAAGCAACAAGTTCGTCTGTTAATGTGATCAGGATGGTGATACCCCTCTCTAGAGACTAATAAGATATTTGTATTCTGAGGCACAGTTTGTCTAATGATCTTAGAAGAAAGCTGTTAGAGTATAACAAAAATCTCCTTTCCCAAAAAAACAAGTAAATGAGAACTGTGTAAAAATATTTTTTTCCCCTGAGTCCATTAGATTTAAATGCATTTGGTAAGCTGAGGTCTGAATTTGAGCTTATGTATAATTAATTGTGTTTGTAGACCTGAGTAGGAGAAGGGCTATGTATTGGTTTTGCTTTGATTTGCCTTTTTTCTTTTCCCTCTGTCAAAAGAAACAAAACAGCAAAGCCACTGTATACAGTTTACAGTCAGTGTGGCTGACTTATATCCCTCCCAATAGTGCCATGAGGGAAGGTGGCTGCAGTCACCTTAAATCTCTGTTACAAGTCACTTACCTGTTCAGGTACTGAGGTGTGATTGCTTTTGTAGTCAGTGAAATTAATAAGCTCTTGGTGCTTTTCACCAGTAGACATGAAAAGGCCTTTAGAAGATGTTTGTACCAGAATTTTGATTTTTATGTTGGAAATGAAAGAAAGGGAATGAGAACTTTGCTGGCTGTGGCCAGATTGGGGATTTGGGCAGCTGCTGGATGGGTGTCCATTCCCAGCAATGAGCCTGGTCACTCTAAGGGTTGGTTCCCTTCTTGCTCTGTTTTAACGAGCCACCAATTTTCTGACAGCCCCTCACCTGAGATACTTACACTTGTATTGATCTGTCCCTTCCCAGGATTCTCAGATGGTAATAGAAGCCTTCAAATCAGGGTTTGAGCCTCCGGGAGACATCGAATTTGAGGATTTCACGCAGCCCATGAAGAGAACTGTCTCAGAATCCAGCCTTTCCAACTCCAGAGGGGATGGCAAGTCAGAGCCGAAGTTTGGTGGCAAATCCAAGGGCAAGTTATGGCCATTCATCAAGAAAAATAAGGTACTGATTTGCAAACTTGAGCTCGGTGCTAGTGTGTGTTTTGTCAATAACCTCTGTCTTGTCTGGTAATCCTGGCAAGTTCAGTTTGTTTTAAAGAGAATTTTAGATGCGGAAAGTTAATAACTGGTGTCTTAATATGGCGTTTTGTTGTAGTCTTTGGTTACTTAAATTTCTTTATATCTTTAATTTTTTTTTTCCTGTATAATTTCTTTAATTATGTTGCAGTTTAAAAAATTAATTTTAACTTGAGTTGTCACGTCTCTTGCCATGGTCCATTTCTGTTCCTAACTCCGAAAAGGAATCGTAAACCACTTACCTAGTGCCATGTGTGCCAACTAACATTGTTACTCGTGGGAAGCTTTAACGTGGCGTTACTGTTTTGACACTCCTAAAACTCTTCCTTGGCTTTTCATTGGCGTTTCCAGTCTGTGCACTGGGGTGAGCAGGTGGGTGGCTGGGAAACAGGGAATTGCTGTGATTTCATCCTGAAGCACAACTAATGGAGCATCACTAACTGAGCAGTTGACTTTTTAAAAAAAAAAGACCATATTAACTTATGTATCCATTAAACCTTTTTTCATCCCACTGTCATATTTTTACACCATAATGCATGGCAGCATTTATCTGGGGTTCCCAGAATGTGTCAGGGTGACTGGACTGAATCAGTTTTCAGTAACACTGATGGAAGCCCAGAGAAGCTTTGTTGTTTTAACCTCACCCTTGCTCTGACTATTTACCAAACTACTTCTAATTAGGAGTCCCCCCAAAAAATCTACCAGTTCACAATGGGTCATTCCTGTAGTGCTGGTATGAGAAAAAACTCAGCTCTCTGGTGCTTACATCAGTGTAGCCAGAAAGAGAAGCACACCCAGGACTAACTCCTGAGCAAATTCATAGAATAACTTGTACAAGTGAAGTGGGATGCACGTGGCTGAGGTATGATTTGGAAGCAGGAAGGAATGTGGTTTGTTGTTTTCCAGATAATAGAAACGCTACTGGGCACTAAGGTACCTTCCTTATCTGATCCATTTAAATTCAGGTATTTGAAAGCTCTATCCATATGCATTATTCTGAGCTGTCCACAGAGCAGAACAGGGCAATTTATGGGGATAGCGCTGCATGGAAGAGTCTGCATGAGCTTCCTTCAAAATACTTTTATGTTACTCTTCTGTTGCATCACTTACTAAAACTTTCATTTATCACACTCTTCATTTAACACAACTCTTAACTACTGCTTTCTCCCCTCTTTTAAACCATGGCCTTTAATATTTAATTATTTAATTGGTTGGTTGGTTTTTTTTTTTTTTCCTCTGGATTTCAAATATTGGTTTTGATGCTTACTTTCGTTTTGTGTTTTTTATCTCTTTATTTTGGTTTTTTATTCTGTCACTTCTCCATCTCTTATACGTAGCTTATGTCCCTTTTAACATCCCCCCATCAGCCCCCTCCTCCTCCCCCTGCCTCTGCCTCACCCTCTGCTGTTCCCAACGGCCCCCAGTCTCCCAAGCAGCAAAAGGAACCCCTCTCCCATCGCTTCAACGAGTTCATGACCTCCAAACCCAAAATCCACTGCTTCAGGAGCCTAAAGCGCGGGGTAAGTTCTCCTCTGGATACCTCTCTCTCTCTCTCTCTCTTTCTTTCTCTCTTTCTTTTCTTTCTTTCTTGCGCTTTTATTGCACGTTCTGTTATGTAAAAACTTGTTTTGTTTTGTGAATGGTTCCATTGTGTTTTATCATAACATGCAGACAAAATCCAAGGGTTCCCGACCTATAAAGCCATTTGCAGTCAAAAACCCCACAGCGAAACCACAAAAAGTGCATTTGCTGATGGAAATTACCCGTTTGGTTTTTTCTTGGGGGGAAGGAGGAGCTGAAGGTTAGGAAAGGCACATGGAAAAGTCCAAGTCATTAGTTTTTTGTCTCTGCAGGGTGATTTCAGCTCAATGTCTATGTCAGAAGGAGGAGAGTAAATTAGGAGGGATTCTAGAAAATAAATGTTGTGATTTCACTTGGTGCAAGTTCAGGAATTTCTCTGAAATGATCTCACACCTTTTCTGGAGCAGTGGGAACTTCTGTTCCAGACCCTCAGCTCCTGCTTCAGGTGCTGCAGTGTCAGTTTGTGTAGTGACCCTGAGTTTTGAGATAAAAAACTGGTTATTTATGGAAGGTGAACTGATTTTGGGTGGCAATAAGGTAGTTTCTACGGTCCATGTGTTCTTTAAACCAGCTGCAGCGTTGGGAAAGGCTGGGGGACACACACCAAAGACACCTCAGTTACAGCTGGCCCTAAATATTTGAGGCTGACACTTCTCAAGGACCTTAACTGCATCTTGTAGCATGAATTTTCAAGAAGATTTGGGTAAGGTTTGATTTGATTCCCGTAGAGAGCTGTAGTAATCAAACTTCTCACCAAGTTTATCATGTCTGCCTTTGGACTTCCTTGAGCAGTTTTTTAAAGTGTCCACAGAAAAATTAAAATCCTGCAGTGCTCCTTTACTTTTTTTTTCTAATTAGTTTTAAATGGAGCTTTTTTCCCCACAGTTCTTATTCTTGACACTTTAAGTGTCAGTCTTTGCAAAAATACCAAGTTGAGAAGCTCTTTGGAATAGCCAGTATTAGGTGCTGTTCCTGCAAACTTTGGAGGGAAGACATTAACTGAGAGTTTGCTAAACTTTGTGAAGAAGCAGAGCAAAACCAGGGGGGGGAAAAAAGATCCAACACTTTGTGACACATCTCCACTGTTCCAAAGTCAATGTTCTTGTCTTCTTTGCTGCTGAGCAGGAAACATGACCTGAGTTTTCCCAGGTCAGCTGCTCCGTTCCTGCTCCTGACAGCAGCTCTGATTATATTCATAAACTGATGCTGTAGTGTTTGTGTTGAATTAAACCCTCTCCTTGGTGGTCTTCATAAGCAGAGAATAAAATGACAGGTCCCTGAGATAAAATTTTCCATTTTTCAAACAAAAATAGGAGTTTATCTTCCCTGAACCTTGCACATGGCAGAGTTTGGCTGAAAAACTGCTGGCACAGCATGGCTTTGCCTGCAAGGTGAAGGTCCTTAGAATTATTTCCTCCTGCAGAAACTACAGGAAGGAGACACAAGTGTTCAGTATTTTAAATATTTTTTAGAGCAGACTGTTACAGCAAGGAAGTGACTACTTTAAAAAAAAACCCAAATTCTGCTCCAGGGACTGCACTGACATTTAGGACTGAGGACTGGAGCTGTATAAAAGCAGAGATGATTTCAGTGGGGAACTTCAGTGGTTAGTTACAAAGAACTGAGAACAGTGCTGTAAACAAGACATTGTCTTGTCTGGTTACAGACAATATAGTAAAAAAAACCCCATGTTTTAAACAGAGTGAGTTTCAGTTCTTTGCTAGGAAATTGCCATTTCTTGGGACACTCAGAACCCAAAAAACCCGACTTCTGAGATATTTCACTGGGGAAGTGGGAAGTTTCTAAGCTTGTCCAAAGGCACGATCTGCCCCTGTCCCTCCTTTTCTCGGTTGCAGTTTGGCTCAGAGCATCTTTTTCAGTGGTTTTTACGGGAGGAGACAGTCTTTCAATTCTGCTTGTGCAGCAACAGGGCTGTGCTGGGTGGTGGCACCAGTACAAGGGTGGGCAGTGGAGTTGTCCTTGTACTGGGCAGTGCTGGGAGAAGTCAGGGGGTGTGTTGCAATATAATGCTCCAGTAGTGCCATTCACAGAACAGAATATTTTAAATAGTGCTGAATATTTCCTACTTTATTTAAAAATACTAGTTGGGAGTTCCATGGGCACGTCACAAGTTTGTGTTTCAAAGGTACAAGTTCTTACTGTGTTTTTGACCATATAAGCAATTATGACTAATTGCTTTTAATATTTCCCAAAGAAAGACCCGTTTTTTTATGTATTGACTATCTAAGAAATCCAAGCAAGCCTTATAAATTCTGCACACCACATTCTTTTAAGTGCTTTGTGTCAAAGGTGAAATAGTGAGAACAATGTCTCATAGTCTCTGGAATCCCTCAAATTTCTGCTGACACATTCATTGAGAGTGTGCAAGGAAGGGCTATTGCTAAATCTTCGTTTAAACCTTTCACTGTGTTCTTTTTCTATTTCATTTCCTTCCCTTGTCAGCTACCAGGATGTTTGTATGTAAATACTTTTCCTGCCTGATTCATGCTGTGGATTTGGAGGCCAAAATTCAGATCATCATCTCTTATTTTTCCAGAGGGATGGATTCAGGCCACTTGGTTCATCCAGAGATATGGAGGAGGAGGAGAGGCTGCAAACCTCTGGCAGCTTGCTCTGTCTCATTTGAAACCTTTTCAAATTCCCATTTTATAGGTCCTTGGTGATTTGTAATATACAAATGGTCAGACTGGTAGATCACCAGAGTGCCATATGACCTTCAAAAATAAAATAATTCTAACCAGGCAAAAAGGAAATCAAGAACCACCCTCAAATCCTTTTAATTTGTCAGGTGAAAAACAAGTGGTTGGTGTTTCAGTTGATAGCACCCTGTGTTATATTCAGTACAGCCAGACAACAGTGTTAATTCTGCTTTAACCTTACGAAGTTTAATAAGATTTCCTTTTTTCATCCTTTTCCCTCCTTCTGTCAAATCCAAAAGCATCTGAATTTTGCTCAGGAATACTGGATTTACCAGTGATGTTACCAGAGAAGGGAGGAGGATGTAGGGTGGAACTCTCCTCTGCAGAAGGACATTTGATCTGTACAGAGGCACATCAGGGAAGCAGCTTCTGGAAGGTTGTGCAGGGAGCAGCAGGACAGCATAGGGGAACAGGAGCTTGGACTCTGAATCATTTCATTTGCTCTGAATTTTTCTCTCTGCACTGCTGGGTTTGTTCCTTGGCAGAATTCCCCTCCAGGCACCTTCAGGGAAGGCCACAGGGCTCTCCAAGTGTTCTTTTAGAGAATTCACCCCAATTTGCCAAGCCGGTCCTTCCTGGCTTTGTTGATAACCTGAGCTCTCAACTCCTATAAAGCCAAATGACAGTGTTTATTCCAAAGGAAACGGGATCATACTCCTTCTTTTTTGCACTGACTGAAGGGATAAGGGAAAAAAAAAGTAACTACTTGACGTGAACAAGTCCTAAGACCTTTACCAGGATAAATTCCAGCAGCAGAACCCCACGTTGTAATTGATCCTTGAAACATAACACGTGAATGGATTCCCATACGACTCCTCCATGAAATCTGGGAGATCAGGATGTGTCTGGGAGGCAGTGTGTTTTAGCCATTTCCTTTGAAATTTTTTGGTTTAGCATCTTGGGTTGCATTTGGAAAGAGGAATCACAAAGCTAAAATGGCAAAATCACTGGTGACTGTTAAAATGAATTACATAATTAGCTATGATATGTCCTGTGCCCAGTCTGGTTTTAATTTTGCTTCCAAACCCAAAAATCCAATGAATCTTGTTTTCATGGAAGGAAACAGATGCCTGAGCAATTTACAACAGATGCAAGGTTAATGGGGAGGCGCCAATACCAGTATCAGTGGTCACTGCCAATATGAAATCCTAGTCTGTTTAAAAAAAAAAAAGAAATTAAATATTTAGGTGCTGACTCTTGGCGGTGTCTATGGTTTTCTAATCACATTTTTGTATTTGCCTCAAAGCTTTTTCTTTAAACCCCAACAGCAGAAATGTCCATTACAGAGAATACCATAAAGCTGTTAGAGCACTTATTATGGATCAGAACTAGGAGAAGGGGAAAATCTCTCTTACACAGTTTTTGTGAGCATTGTTTCTAATAGCTCCTTAAAAAGACACTATAAAAGTAACACTTTCAAATCAACTTTGCCTCTTTAGGGAAGTTAAAGCCAGAAGCGTACAAAGAATGAGGAACCACTTACATAACTCATAATTTCATTTATGCTTGCTCTGCTTTTTTCTAATTCCACTTTGAGGACAAAGGAAACTCGGTATTCTGCTGGTTGATACTAATTTTGTGTTCTTTTGTTTTATTGCTGCAGTGGCAGTAACATCAGCACCTTTTCTTAAAGAGCAATACTCCGAACTAACACCATCCAGGGGTAGAACTTACACCTCTGAATTGCTCCCTGTGCGTTGTGTGGACTTCCCTTTTCTCTCCTGCCTCGGAGCCCGGGATGGGACCGGGCAGAGAGAGAATGGTCTGGGAGCTGGGATGGATTTTGCTGCCATGACCCAAGTTCCGGCCTCCAGACGGTTCCCTAAAGCACACGGAGGAACTTTTGTGGTTTCCTTCTTAGTGGATGTTGTTGACTTCAATCCAATGTGGTGTTATTTCCATTGCACCAGTGGATGTTCTCCCTCCCTGTCCCCTCTGACACACTGAGCAGTCCTGCCCCTCCTCACCGAGCTGTCGCTCTGCCTGAGTGATCAGTGCTTTGTTGTTCTGTGAGTTCTGTGCAGAAACAGCAGACCAGCCACCCCCTCTCCAACCTGCTCTGTTCCCTGCCCTGGGAATACTTGTTATTCTAACGTAAGTGTCTCTGTCTGTGCCAAGACTGGGGTTTTTTGGCGGGTGGGGTCATTACAGCCACGCTTTATTCTAGCACAGAGAGAGATGTTTTCTGACCTTGGTATTTAAGCAAGCATTTAAACCCACAATATTTTCAGATCTCTGCGAGCATGCTGAACTCTTAATGTTCACCCAGCTTCTAGGAAGCTCCCACTCTGCACTTTGAGGCTGTTTAAACACTGAGCTGCCTTTTGCTGTAGAAGCAGTAAAAACACAGAGGTGCCGCGCTCGTCCCCGGTGTAACCAATGTGTGTTTTCTCTTGCTGACTCACCAGCAGACACAGTCTTTGTATATTCACAAAGAACTCATGAAGAGGACTTTAGGGACCCCCACGTGTGCCATTGAGGCTAGGGAGTATTTTGTAAGTCTGTGTATGGTGTGATCAGCCCATACCGTCGCTACACAGTCGCTAACCCCACTTACAACGCCGTTCCGAGTGTGCCGTGGGAATGTGCTTTGGCAAAGATCCCAGGAAAATTTGGTGGGAGGCAAGTTGCAGCTTTACTGTGTGGTGTGCAGGAGAGATGTGTCCGCTAGCCCTGGAAATGCTGAAATTGGCACAAGCTGGACCTGTGAAATTCGGAGTGTTACAAGCAGGTTCCATGCACTTATTCTAAATTAATTAATGAATGAGGTCTTGAGCACCACGAGCCAACCCCTCATGGTGACACATTCTGTGCCTTGGTGGTGGAGCACTCCCTGGAGCTTTTGGAAGCTTCCCTGAACTGTCTGTGATGATGACAGTTCATGGAATCAAGATATGGGGCCTCTAAATCTGATACTTGGATAAAGCAGAGTATGGGGAGATGGTTACAGGGAAAAAAAAAAAAAAAAGGCAAAGAAAGAAAATTACCTCCTGGTTGTATGGAAGTCCAGTGATTGATTTCAACCCTGTTTTCTGTAAGTGAGGTTAGTGTCCGTGACTGTCCAATAACACATGGACCTGCTGGCTTTCATGCTCTCTCATGTGTTATTGAAGCTTGTGGCTCTTAGACTCTTCATTTTTTCCCTGCAAGACTGAGCTAGACATGGTTTAGATTGACAGCTTGAAACAGATTTGCTCATTTCAAGGAAATGTAATTTATTTGATCATTTGGGTGGAAAATGCCCCTGTTCTCCCAGGAACTGTGAGCACACGTTTCTAGCTGTGAAAACCCCACAGAATGGGCAGAAGTAGTTATGTAGTGTTTAATGCAGATTTATTTTCAATCTGCTTATGTTTGTTTCTAGAAACCGAATCACTGTCACATAAAATTACCAATATACGTTTCAGAAATGGAAAACTGTGAATATGACTTATTTCAGCATTTCATTGTTTCCAGTCTATGATCTGCTTTATTTATACTGGTTATAACAATCCCTGATGTACTATTTGGAAATGCTTTTAATAAATTCTCTATTTTTTTTTGTCGTACTTAACAGCCTAAGAATTGGGCATACAGTGTCTGTAATCCCTTTAAAATTTGCTGAATTTAGAGCAAAGGAATAGTCTTGATGCAGATGATTCTCCGCCGTATTTAGTGCCTTTAGAGCGAGTAGTGTTTAGCCACTAGCGCATGTAGCAAACGTTTGTGCCTTCTTAGAGTGCTTCATAGGTAAATATTTATTCTGCACCATGAGTCTTGTCTGTATATATGTTCAAGAATCTCAGTTTGTGCTGATCATGTCTATGCTAAAGTTCACAGGAGTGCTGAAGCAATGATGCAAACACAAGCTGCCTATGCTGAATTTCTTCAGACCATTCTTTCTCCTTCCTCTGTGATTATTCTCCCAAATGGATTGGTTTTGTTTGCTTCTTTTTTAATGACCTCTTTAGCTCAGAGAGTGAATTTCTTCATGGCACTGTGATTATTATCCTTTGTTTGTTTCCTAATGGACTGGACTGCAGAGGGAAGTCTCACTGCTGCCTTGTCCCTGAACAATCAGTTCACATGCAGCGTTCCACTATTATTTCAAGGCCATTTATTTTCCTTGAATGACTGGCATGTGTTGCTCTACAAATCCTGGTGACTAATGGGAATTGTTATTTTTGGAGGAAAAAAAAAAAAAAGTTTCTTTCCTAAATTGTGCTGTCAAACACATCACACAGGTGTGGAGCCACTTGCTATTTTAATTTCAATCCTAATGAACTGTGGTGTTGCTCAAAATGGAGCATGTGTTTGAGAGCACCATTCCCAGGAGCTGCTGGTAGTAAAGTGACAGAGAACTTGAATGGAAAGAGGTTCTGAAGTCTGGCAGCACAGATTCTTGCCTGAAGAGAGGTGTTTTCCAGCTTTTACATTTCAGCTGTTGTACAGAGTGTGTGCATTTATGCACTGACAAGTTTGTTGTGTATTTTGAGCATTTCACAACTGTCCCCAAAGGGCTGGTAGGGCAGCTCAGTGCTGATGGCTGGAGGAGGAGGAGGCGGCTGGGTGGAGTTTGGATTCTCCCTTTATATCTGGCTTTAGATCTTGAGCAGCAGCTCCCTGGTGCTCCTTGGCACAGAACTGAGCGCTGGAGCACTGTTGTTGTCCCTGTCTCTTGGAAAACCTGAACTGCAGCTGTTGTAAAGTCTTGCCGCACTAGAGGAGGTTCTGATGATTCTGGTGGTGGGGTGCCCAGGCACAGCTGGGAATTTCTGGGGCCCTGCAGCCCTGCCCTGAGCTGTGGGTGCAGGTGATGCTGGGCAGAGACACAGCTCGCTGTGCGTGGGCTCTGTGGGCACACGCTGCTTTCAGTCTCGCTTCCCCAGAGTAACTAAAAGATGATGTTTTGGCTCTGCCCCAGGAAATGTGGTAACTTTAAAGAATTAGATCATGTATATCATTTAAGGAGCTTGAATAATGTCTTACCATGCTGTCATAGGATCAAATTGGTGTTGAGAGAATTGACTGGTTTTTTTTCCTCCTCCTTGGGCCTGACCTTGTCTGACCATGGCCGAAGTACGTTTGAGTCTGAGTATTTGGTTTTTGAATTGTTCAAGAATGTGAAATGACTTTCCATGCCTGTCCAGACAGCGCTGTGCAGCCAGCAGGGATGTTTCAGGGGTGTTGTCCTCTGGCCATAGCCAGAGAGCTGGGCACTCCCTGGAGATCCCATCGTGCTGCTGGAGCCAGTGCCGTTCCTCACCTCCCCACCGAGGTTTGGCTCAGCTGCCACCCCCTCTCTAAAGCCCTCCTGTGAAGTGGCTGATGCATTTGAGGGCGTTTTTGATCTAAAGTGACCCACATGCATTTGCAGGCTCTGGTTTTTGACCACGTGAGTGATGTTACTCCAAGGAGAAAAGCCCACTGCTGTTGTTGTAGCTGCTGTCAGTCAGTCCAGTGCCAAAGCACCTGTGTCCAGGCACAGCACTTCCCATTCCTGTTCCTGGCGAGGAAATGGCAGCTGCCCGAGCCCATCTTGTGAACTTTTGCACAGATCTCTTAGTGTTACCCATTTTGCCTTCCAACAGCAAGGGGATTATGTGTCATTTTATTGTGAGATCAGTTTGAAAAAGTTCCTCTTCTACTGATGCACTGTTGTTTTTTCTCTCTCTCCCCCCCCACCCTGTATCTCTCCAATTTTACATGAAGCTTTCTCTCAAGCTGGTAAGCACATTTACAGCATGCCTGTCCTGTGTTTTAATCACAATTTCCTATGTGTGTTTGAATGTGCACTGTGCCACACGTGACATGACACTGAAATTAACTGTTAAATTTGTTTCTTCTTTGTGTTTGCTTTTTTTGGCATTTATCAGATAACTCTGAATACACAGGTCTGGAGTCTAATAGAGGTGATCAGAATTCAGTCTTCTAATAAGCTGCTAAAAATTAACTCTAATAAATAGTTTAGTTTTCACTTTTATAATCCAGGGCTATGAAAATGTAGAAAACCACTATTGACTAATTCTGCTACTGTATAAGAATACATTAAAACATTAAAAGAAGAGGGAAAAAAGTAAAAATAAAGGTCTCTGAGCTTGCTGGACCTTTTCCAGAGAGCAGTGCATGTCTTTCTGTGTAAAGTAGCTGCAAAGTTTGCTTTCCGTGTCCAGGTATTACTGGAAATCTGCACCATTATCACCTACATTTTACAGCCCTATGTAGTCCTTCAGAATAACCAATAATGATATTAATTAAAATCCTGTAAACCTTAACCAACAAGGTTAACTCAATCTGATTTGAATTCGCAAATGGAGAGCGATGCATATATGTGAATCCTAAATTCCACCTTGGATGCAGCTGGAAAGGTTTCTTGAACTATGGTAAGATAAGATGTTACTGAGTTGGAAAGGGAAGGGGTGAACAGGCCTGGGAAAGCAAATTACATGCTGAATTTCATACACACAAGGTACTGTTTTGCTTGAGACACTCCACACCTTGATATGTTCCTGACAGCTTGTCTACATTCCTTTCCCTTGGAGAGCTCTGTCACAAGGAGAATGCAACTGGTTTGCTGACCCACCTTGCACAAGCATGTGAGAGCCACAGTGGCTGATGGCAGTTTTGGAGAGCCTCGGGATCCACAGGAGCACCTGTATTGCATTAGCTTCCCAGTTCTCTTATTCCTCACCAGTCAGCTCCTTTGGGTGCTCTTTCCCTTCCCTCTGTGAGGGTGGGCGGGCCCTGGCACAGGTTGCCCAGAGAAGCTTTGGTTGCCCCATCCCTGGAAGTGTCCAAGGCCAGGTTGGATGGGGCTTGGAGCAACCTGGTCTAGTGGAAGGTGTCTCTGCCTATGGCAGGGGGTTGGAATGAGATGAGGCTTAAGGTCCCTTCCAACTCAAACCATTCCATGATTCTACATCTGTCTTGGGTACGTCACTGTGGGCCTGTTCTGCTCATGGCAGCTCATCCAGAGGGAACACGTGGGCCATGAGCTGCCTGGAGTGGCTTTGGAAGTTTCTGGCCCTGCTGCTGCTCTGGCAGCACAATGACTTGCTTGGGCTCCTTTAGCAATGTTGCTTCTCCCTGAAGACCTATGGTAGGTCTGAGGAATGATGGAAGTGTCTGGGATACTTGCAAATCTTCTTTTGGCTGTTCCCAAGCCACTGTCCTGGGAGTCCAATGCATTTATAACCATGGATTTCCACTCATTTTCCTGGTCACAGTGTGTTGTGTAGCTGAGCTAAGCCTCTGTAGGAATAAAACCTCCCCAAATGGCTGACCTGGCCTTTTCCCAGGAATGGCACAAATTGGAAAGATGTGCAGAGAGGGCTGATACCCATGTGCACCTCAACTGGAGGAAAGTGGCTTGTTGTAATCTCCTCTTGGCCCTGACGTGGCCTCCATTTTCACAGTCCTTCATGTGGGGACAGTTTGCATCCTGAATCCCAGTATCTTTATGCAAGGAAACCTTGTGAGCTCCAGCTCTGCTGGTCCTGTAACAGCACATCATAAGCAGCACAGCTTTGCCCTCCACCTCACTGCTGCAGCATTTTTAGCATCTACAACCTGAGAGATAGCCCAGGTGTGTTTTCGCTTCAGAGCATGAAATGTGCCCAGCATGTGCAAAAACTGCTCCTTGAACTGTCCCTTTTAGAGCAGGAACTGCAGCTTCTGATGGAAATTACTGAGCATGGAATAAAGGCAGAGTGGGATCCAACTCCCAGTCTCAGGTGTGCAGCTCCATGGGACGCTCGTGCTTTGGTCTGAAGCATTGGGAACAAAGCTGCTGGATTTAGTCCAGCCTAGAGCTTTTGGGTGAAGTTGAAGAATCAAAACGAAGATATCAAAAAGAAGGTGCTTTTCCAAATTTGCTTGGCTCCATCTGTTGCGTTCCCCTAGTGTGCAACTGGGGATATTTTCAAGAGTAGCTGTCTCTACTGCTTAGAACTGAGGAGTCAGAATGTCATTTAGTCTTTCCTATAACTGCTTGTTTGTTTACAAAGCTGCCTTAAAAAGATGTCTATGGCTTTAGTGTCGATTATCCATAAAACAGATTGAATCACTCTCACATCTGATGCGATGTGGGAATTACTGTCAAGCAAAATATTAACATTAAAGAAAAGAATTAAGATAGATCTCCCCTCTGTCAGTCTCAACAAGTAATGTAAGCACTGCTGGGACTCCCATGGGGTAAAGTTTAGGAATCAGCATAAATTTTTCAGTCATTTGCCTTTAATTTGCTTTCTCGTTGTCTCATGAGTGGAATTTTAGGTATTATTACAGATGATCAAGGCTTAATTAGACATATGTGCTGTCTTTGACGATCAATGCAGCAACAATTTCATCAGGCCAGTTCTGTTGTTCTGGAATGGCCAGTCCAGAGTAGAAGGTGACCTGTCTGCTGCTGTCCTCCAGCTCTCTGACACCCACACTCTTTCTGAACAGCTTGTTCTGCAGCTGCAGAAGAAAGAGTGTGGTGTCTCAGCACATTCAGTGCAGAGCCAGGAGTCTAATGGGCAGTTTTTGTGGCAGTGTGTCCGCTAAATCACACTCCTCAGAGAGAAATTTGGTTGTTTAGTAAGACTGATGTTCCAAACCTGCTCACAAGCTGGTGAACCACTGAATTTGGTCCCTCAGCTTTGTGATTTTTACCCTTCCTTCTCCCACAAGCCAGCATTCCCCCTTAGAAATGGGACATGGAATGAGCAGAAACCAAAACAAGTAAAACCTGCCCAAATTCAAGATTATATATAAGAACCTCAGTCCCTTATGGTGCAACTTAATCAGTATTGATGTGTGTTCCATATAGCCCACCCAAACTGTCCCTTTTGCCTTCTGGCAAGACAAAAATAGGTGTGACTGTGAAGAAAATAGTGTGGATGTATTTTATGTGTCATCTATCTGCTATGTCAAACTGAGGCAATCAAGAGGAGACATAGCAGTTGGAAGGCAGAAAAGGGGTTTTCAAGCAGAATCACGCAAAGGTAACACTGTCGTCTTCGTGTTTTTTTCCTTCAGTTGTGATTTCAAATTGATTGGTTCTATGGCTTTGATATAACTCCTGATTTTTATGCTAGTACAAGGGAGAGAGGAAAAACTGAGAGACTTTGGCATGGAAGGTGGATCCTGGAAAGTAAGCAGCATGTTTTTTAAATTGCAGAATCCAGTGGGAAGTGCTTCTGTTATCTTGGTGTGCTCAGGAGAGCCCTGACAAATTAACTGTGTTGGAGCAGCACTCAGTCAGCAGTTAGTGGTGCACAGGAGAAGTGTGACTGTGGCACAGGAGTAAAAGCCAGGAACTGCTTTTATGGGAATGCTCTCTGTAGCAGAGTGTAGGAAGGCAGGAAAGGTCAGCTTTCCGTGAGAAGGGAACTGTGTTAAATAAAATCTGATGATAACTGCAGATAAAAATAGTTCCTCGGCTTTACTGTTGAATTCTGGAATTCTCCAGTTGATTAGCCACTGTTATGGAAGCAGGATGTGGTCCTGGGATCATTTCTAGGGCATCCAGGTTCCTGACCATTCAGGGACTGATAACACAGTACAAATGGTAACAATGCTTCAGACCACTGTGATTTTTGCACAGGTTTTTGTGAGCTGTTTTCAAAATGCAATCCCAAAGGATTCTTTCAGACTCTGATTATTAATTTTTTTTCTTATGCTACCCCTCCCCCCCCCATTCCACTCTGTGCAGGGAGCAGGGCCCGAAGACTTCAGCAATCTCCCACCTGAGCAAAGAAGAAAGAAGCTTCAGCAAAAGGTGGACGAACTAAACAGGGACATTCAGAAGGAGCTGGATCAAAGGTGAGTCAAACCTCCCCAATGAAAAATGACAAGGTAGATCCCAACCAGAGAGGCTGTTCCAGCATTGTAACATCATCCAAAGTGCTGATTCTTTGGTGTGTGCCTCAAGTCTCTCTGTAGCTTAGATTTCCTGGAAGCGGGAAGATAATGACTCCTGTGCTTTTGTGAATGCTTTTTCTACAAGGCTGCCTTTAACATTCTGGTTGAGAATAAGGCTATTTTAGTTACCCACTTTTAATTGATTCTGGCAGCCTGTGTTTGTACTTCGTGTTTGTTCACATTCTGCAGTTGCATTAAAGATTCAGCATGTTTTGTTTGCAAGAACTTTTCTTTCCTGAAGGATTTCAAGACTGGTCTATCCCTAAATACTGCTTTGCATTTGTACAGTTGTTAATCTTGCTTTCAAGAACCTGTTTATTTTGCCTACTAACCCAAAAATTCTTCTTTGTATTTTGTATCATGACTAGGAAAGGAACACTGCATGTGGTTACATGATTTCTCATTACTTTGGTTTATTCCTCTGTGCTAACTTTGACTTGTCCATACAGAATTTTTTCCTGCTCTCTATTGATCCCAACATTAAAATCAGATATGGAATCAGAGCAGAGTGTTAGTTTAAAAAAAGTCTAGTTTATGACTGAGGAAATAGCACCATCAGTGAAATAAGAGTTAAACAAATAGTAATAATTGTGACTCATATGTTTGCAACATTGTCCCTTAAGGCTTCAAGCACAGAGCAGTCCCACTTCCTTGCCACCCACACTTTTTCCCAGTTTCCACACACACAAAGCAAAGCCAGGCACAGGATTGCAATTGTCAAGAGTTTGGTGGGAAACTCTAAAATATAAAGAGTGTTAACTCGAGTCGTGGGACTCGCATTAACCTTTCTCCCCCCAGCAAATGCCTAGAGAAAAACTGAATAGTTGCACCAGGAATACAGGAAATCAGCTCATAATTCCATCTTTCTCTCAGCTCTGAAATGTCCATCATCAGGCAGATAACTTTTCTGTGAGCTGAGCCTCAGTGTGACTCGGGTCAGAGGGAGCTCACTGCTGTCAGTGCGAGCTCTGCAGGCACCGAGGGAGCTCATCAAGGCATGTCCTGCATCAATCCTGGGTTTATGGCACCAAATCCATCATAGCAGGACTGAAAATTACCATCTCAGAAACCCTGGGCTCTTGGCACTGGGGCTGATAGGAAACAGCCCCCAGAAGGAGCTGAGGGAAGATGCCCTGTGACTGAGCAGGATGCAGGGTTGAATTTTCGAGCCTGAAGTCCGTCTGTGACAAACACAAACCATCTGGGCTCAGCTTCGTGTTGAGCAGCGTGAAATAAATAAATATCCTGCAAATTATTGGGGTTGCTAAAGACAAACTGCAGCAGGCAGGGTGAGAATTTCTGGTTTGCACTCCCATTTCTAATATTGATACATCTGTGTATACATCTTTGTCCCAGTTTCTCAACTGGAGGTCAGTCCATGATAGATAATAATGATGCAACTGTTTGTCTCTGCCCCAAAAACTGGAATAATATTAATTTAGAAAGTTTGGAGATGTCATTCATTGCAATGGTTGTGAGATTCTTTTTTTTTTTTTTAATCATTGTTTTCCCTGGGGTTAGCAAGTAGGTATTGTAGTACAACAATAACAGGCTAAAAATCAATACCAAAGATTTTCTCACATTCTAGGTAAATCACTGTTTTTCATCTCTGACAGTGTAAATTCTCTTCTGGCAAGTGATTTTACTCTTTTGGGGTTTTTTAAATGGCAAAAAGCCCCATTTGTATGTTCTCAGTTCCCTTTGTAACAGCTTAGTTGAACCCCAGAGTGAAGAAGAGGCAGTTTGTTATCCTTCCAATTGCCCCCAGCTGCACTAACATGTTTTATTTTTCTTCTGCCTCTCAGAGATGCCTTAACGAAGATGAAAGATGTGTATATCAAGAACCCCCAGATGGGAGATGCAGCGAGTGTGGACCACAGATTATCAGAGCTTGCACAGAACATTGAGAAGTTACGATTAGAAGTTCAGAAATTTGAGGTATGAGAAGAGACACTTTGGTAAAAAGCAGCTCAGCAAGTGCTCAGCTCTGGCTTTTCCAGATGTATTGATGCACCTTCTTGCTGGATGTGTGGAAGTGCTACTTGAGCACTTGCATTATTAATCAGGATCTTTGATCTGATTTGTATAACATAATCATGCACCATCTCCTGTGACTGTCAGCCCCCAGCTTAATTTGCCACAGAAAACAGATTGTGCTAAGCGGAGGTGAAAAGAAAATGTAGTGCTCTCAGGGCTGCCCAGAGGGGTTCAGATGCTTATTTAATTAATTAAATAAATTGAAGCATCGTGTTACAGACGTCTGTGGAAAATGAGAGTGACACAAAGGCAAAGCACCAGTTAGAGACCAAGAGCAAGACGGAAGCCATCAGATGAAATATGTGTTAAGGAACAGTCTGCCATGAACAGGAAGCCTCCTTAGTGATATAAAATCTCAAGAGCTGAATGGGAGTGTTTGAAATATATGAAGCCCATTATAATTACATGAGAAGGATTATAGGGCTGAGAAGATTTCGCTCTTTACATTACACTTTGTACATAAACAGATACAGCCCATTAATTTTTGATGTTTCTTGCAGTTGTGGCTTTACTACCCGCTGCTCTCCCTCGTTTGAAATCAGTGGCTCTTTGATTCTCCTCAGCTTTGGTTCTCGTGCATTCGGCACTCCCAGAGGTTGCTGAGTCTCTGGTGTTGCAGAGATTACTCGAAGCTGCCACACTTCTTTTTGCTTGATAGTGACTGGAGCAGCAGCATCTCCTGGCAGCTGCTGTCAACTGATTCCCTTGGCTTACGGTGTTTTCGGCAGCCGGTGTCAAAAAACAGTTAAGCCAATGTGAATATGTTTCCAAACAACATTTTGGTTCTGTGGTGTGAGTGCCAGCTGTGACACAGCAGAGCTGAAGGGCTGTCTCTCCCTGGCAGGGCTGGCTGGCGGAGGTGGAGGGCCGGCTGCCCTCGCGGAACGAGCAGCCTCGGCGCCAGAGCGGGATGTACGAGCCCCAGAACCCGTCAGCAGTGAACAGCTGTGCCCAGGACCGGGAGAGGTACAGTATCTGGGCAGGGTGGGCAGCTTATTGATCAGCAGAACTGCGGCTCTGCAGTGCTCAGAAACCCATTCTGTCACAGGCACTCCCAAGTGTTTTGCATCCTTGTTTTATCATATCCCAACTCCAAGAGCTGCGATCCCGAATGTGTGTCTGAACTGGGTGATGTCCTCCACGCTCACTGCTGCAAAGGCGAGCGAGACAGGGCATTTTTTACAGCTTTTGGTGGTAAAAGTGATGTGTCTGAACCCATCTGGTGTCACAGCCAGTTCAGACCATGCTTTGGGATCGCTGAGCTGCTCCAGCCTCAGTTGCTCCCCTTGCTCCCCGTGCCTGGTAACCGAGGGGCTCTCTCTGCTCCTGAGTTGGTCGCTATAGTTGCTCTGTTTTTCCTCTCTTGAGCAGCCCGGATGGCAGTTACACAGAGGAGCAGAGTCAGGAGACTGAGATGAAAGTACCTGCAACGGACTTTGACGATGAGTTTGATGATGAAGAACCACTACCCACCATAGGAACGTGTAAAGCACTCTATACGTTTGAAGGTATCACTCCAACTTTACCTTCGTTTCACTGTTTTATTTTTAATTCCTATACCAAGAACAAGTGGGAAACCTTCATTTTAAGCCCTGCAGTGAAAACAGCCAAAGGGCAAGTGAGGCTCTGGTGTGATTCTGTTTGCACTAAGTGATTTGTCTCCTGTCACACAGGGACTTTGCAAGAAGAACCAAAACTCTGGTCTCAGAATGACCTTTGTCTGTTTTTTTGTGTTCACCCCGTTGACCCCAGAATCCCACGCTCCTGTTTTGCCACAAAGGTTGTGCCCACACGTCATCACCCCAAACTGCTTCTGGTTCCCACTGTGCAGGACACCCTAAAATCCCTGTTACTGTGTCTTTCAGGTCAGAATGAAGGAACAATTTCTGTAGCAGAAGGAGAGATGCTTTATGTAATAGAAGAGGACAAAGGTGACGGGTGGACGCGAATCCGAAGGAACGAAGATGAGGAGGGCTATGTCCCCACATCTTATGTTGAAGTCTATTTGGACAAAAATGCCAAAGGTGCTATGACCTATATTTAATACTATTATTTTTATTTTGTTTGCTTTCACAGAGGTTAATCCGACCCCGAAGCTGCTCTGTGTTGCAGATACAGAGCCTTTTAAAAGTCTGTACAATGCCACCAAGTGCATTATTTTGTACGTGGACTAATTATGGCTTGCTGTACTGCAAAATGTGCTTTTATTGCTCAGAGAAGGGTAGTGTGGGGGACTGTGAAAGCAGAGGGGAAATGCAGCCTTTCCTGGACAGTGTTTGCTCACCTGTCAGTGCCATTGCACGCCCACCTTAGTGCAGGAAGCACAAAGCCATTTGGGATAATGCAGGCTCTCCTCAGATATCCAGGTGGCATCTCAGACACGTTCACGAGTCAGCTGTTTGTTGTCCCAAACTCGTTCAGTGGAACTTTATGTAGGAAATATTTAGACTGCTGGTTTGTGCCTGTGTGGGAGCTTTTCAGAACCTGTTGTGTCCTGGGGACCTTCTGGATTGGAACCTGGTCATCACTTAGTGTGTGAGGTAGAGGAAGGAGAGATCTTGCCAAAGCCTCTGTGGCCCTTGACAAATGGGTAAAAACATTAAGAAAGCTCCTCTTTGCCACCTTGCTACATTTCAGATGTATTTGCTGTTTCAGATGACCATAACTAATGGTTTGATCTTTTGCTCACGCAAGATCAATGCAGACATTCAGAGTTTGGACTCCACAAGCTGCTGTTTGTTGCTTTAAATTCCTCCCCAATAGGTGTGTTGAGTAAGGAAGCAGTGCTGCAGGGCAGTCCTGGCTGCAATAAATGCCAGCACTGAACACCTGGTAATGGGATACACCGAGAAATCAAATTATTTTAGTCCTGTTAGAAGTCAGGACGTGTTAGAACTTCACTGTTCAATAATTTGTGTTTGTTCAGTCACTTAAACCTTCAGATTATTGTTGTGTTTCCTAGACCCTAGAGTTCTTGATGTGAAACAAGCTGCCTCATCCAAGCCAAAACAACACTGAACCACTTTCATTGGGATTTATGGACAGTGGGAAGAGAGGAGTGGAACTGTGTGTAAATCAACACTGTAACGTGAGCAGTTCACAGTGTTGGATTCAGTGTTAATCAGTGCAGTGCCTTGTCTGCTGCAGGTGAAAATCTGGGCCTTGTTTTATTTTGCCATAACGCAGGAGTTTTCTGTTTGTGTTGGCAAATACAGGGTCAGTTGAGTTGCAGAGGGGTGCAAAAAACTTCCACTAGACTGAAAATGCAGTCAGTGCATCTGTGAATATCTAATATATAGGAACTATAATGGTTTCAATTATCTACTTAAAAGCTAAAAGAGAACTTTGAGTTCATCATAAAGATTTGGGGGAATTGCTACTGTGTTTAAAAGACAAAGTTTGTTGCAAGCTGCAAATTTCTCATTTGATTGTTGATGTATTGGTAGAAGTGACTTGATTCAGTCCTTGAAACGGAGGCGATGGAATTCCAGAAAATAACACTGTAAATGCTAAAGCATTTGCAAACTTCAGTAACTCCTTCCTCTTTTTTTGGAGAGAAGCCTGAGCAGCTGATGCTGCTAAAGGTTGGCTGCAGAAGGGTGGGAGCTCCCAGCAGCTCTGAGTACAGCTGTGACTCCCCCAGCCAGCAGAATAAGCCCTGGCTCAGGAGTACCTGCCCAGCCAGGTTGTTGCTGTGCTGTGAGCCAGAGGCAGCTCTGCCTGAGAAATCCCACTGCTAAGGCTTTATGAAAAGCTGCTTTTTCAGTCAGCTGAGGCCTGTGCTGTCAGGGCTCTGCTGCAGAACTGGGCTGAGCAGGACAGGTAAGTCATTGCTGCATCACAGCCTTCAAGGAGCCCAGCTGGGTCTGTGTGCCCCTGCAAATACCTGTGTGAGGGCTGTTGGTGACATTAACAGAGGGTGTTGGCAGACCCAGTCACAAAAAGAACAGTAATGTCTATCTTCTTTTGCCTTTTTTGTCTTTTTTTTTTTTTTTTTTTTCCAGATGTGTACAAACCACTTCAGAAAATCTCTGAGTAGGTTTGCATAGGCCTGTCCACCCTTTATTCTCCTGGTTTGCTGCTACGGTTGTTTTAAGAGCTGTGTTTGAGAAGGTTTTCTTTAGAAGAGATGAAAGCACATGTCCCATCTCCATCACTGAAAGACTCTGTTAGGTACCACTCACTCAGCCGATGCATGTTCAGGTCGCCTCCGAAATGTCAGTGCTCAGCACTTGCCGAGGAAAGCGCTGACCCAACTGTCCACTTAGAGCAAGCAGCATTTTTTTTGGTCCTTCCTGGTAGAAATGAGAGCTGTGCAGGGTTCATTCTCCTTGGGATTCACGCAGGAAACTGCTCTGTGCACACACGTGGGTGTAGCATCTTGCAGGGCTTTTCTGTACCCGTCGGGTGTCTGGTGCTGAGAACTGTCAAATACAGGGACTGGTCACTCAGGACCGACCATCCTGTGTCACTGGCTATGGTACCTCATCATCTTCTTGGGAACAAAACTGTCTTTCACTGAGGGATGTTGTGAAGTCGTGTGATACACACACAAAAAACAAAACAAACCCTGCACGGAATAACCAACTTTGTGTAAACTCTGCGTCGCACCCAACAAAAATGCCACGTTCCCCTTTCCAGCAGAAAGCCTGGGTGTTTGGGTGCCATGCAAGGAATAAGGGCTGGTTTGTGAAGTTAAACTTCTTAATAGAAACTATTTTTGGGCTGATGAGCATCTTGGCTCCTTGGCCGCTGTGGGTCTGTTCCCCCTCACCTCTGGTATCAATAAATCCTGGTGGGATTCCCAGTGCTGCAGCTCTGCTGTTTGCTGTAACCATCGTGCAGAGCCTTGACTTATATCAATAAATAGGTGAAAGTTAACCACGCTGATGCACTTTTTATCTAGGATATATCTGATTATTTAATGCTTGCCAAATCATTTAGCAATCGGTAATTATAAACTGGACTGTGGCTTTTTAAAATCCCTTTGTTAAATACGTGCCCTTAGTTCTCCCAGTATAAAAAAAAATAAAAATGTATATAACATAACTTAAAAACTAAAGTTACTTGAATTTGAATTGTTTTTATCCTTTTATATGTGTATAAATATAAATGGTTTTATAGGCTGTCCTTCTGCTTAACCCAGCTGTTGTTTTGGTAACTACTTGGTCCCTCTTACGTGGAAAAGTGTTTTTTGGTTACTCAGCTGCCTGCACCTGGTTGGAGTCGCATAGAAACTGCTGTTGTGTGTGTTAAGGTTTGTTAAATCTGGCCAGTGTGGTTGTCTCTTTTCCTTTCTTATTTTTTAAAGAATCATCATCTGTCAGGAGTCTCCTTGTAGCTTGATGTACCATGGTGTCTTCTTCTAATAAACATTATATTTTCTCATTCCTGTGAGGTTTTGTTTTTTGTTTTTTTTTTTTTAATTCCAATTACTAGTGAGTGGTGATTAATTAGTGGCAAAACCTAGTGATGTTTAACTTTACTAAGGGAGAGCAAATGGCCTAGATCTGCTTCCCACACTAAGTACTAATGCAATTCTTGTTCAGGAAAAATATTTTGTTGTGGCTCTTTGAAAAACTCTTTTGTGCTGTCATTTGGAAGCTTTTTATGGAAGTGGGTGCTCTCTGAAACATGAGGGAAGTTTGGACTCATCCTGTATTCCCTTGGATACAGCAGTTTGGGCCAAATCACACTCCTGGATTGTGGCTTCACTTGGCCAAAGGAAAAACTTGCCCTCAGCCAGCAGACTGTGGGAACAGGGATGGACAGAGGAGGGGTTTGGAGGCTTAGGCTGGGTCACTGACCTGTGTATTCCTGGGCTTCCCTTGGCACTGAAAGGTCTCTGCAGGTGGAAAGGAGAGCTCTGGATTCTTCTGCAGACTCCTCATGTTTTACTTTGCTGTTGTTTGGTAGCATTGATGGTCTCTGGAGCTGTCACTGGAACAGATGCAGTGCTACTTTGCAGACTGAGAATTAAAAAGCTGTTTGTTTTCTCAGTGGCATGAAGCGGGTTCTCCTGAGGAGGAGAGCAGGGTCCCAGTGATGCTCATCCCCAGGCTGGAGGGGAGGGCTGAGGGTGAAGGAATTGTTGTTTGAGTTGGGAGCCTTCCTTAACCCCCTGTAACCCAGTAGATGCTTGATGCTCTATTTCCTTTAACCTCCTGCAGGCAGTGCTGCTCTTAAGGGATCCCATTTTCCCCAACCTCTTTCTAATCCAGTCTCTTTTCTTTTTGTCTTTCTTATGTTTTAGATTCCTAAAGGTGTTTGTGCTGGTGCAAGAACCTCGGGGCGAGCTTGTCACAGAAGGAGAAACAAAGTGGTCTGTTTACCCTGCAGGCAGTTAAAACACACCCATGGAAAGCCAGACTGCCAGTCTAGTCTGGAGTTCCCACTTGAAAAATTCAGATCTAAATTCCATCCCAGTACCATTCAAGACGCTTGCTCTTTTCCATGGCATGCTACTTGTGGCTCGGATTACCTTATCAGCCTCTCCCCTTCTTCTGCCAGCTTGGCACAGCCCCTCTGTCAAACACAACCCACACTTTCTCCCCCACCCAGTTCCCCCCTCCTTCTGTCAGAGAACTGCTGGCTGCCCTCGGATGCAGAGGGTGGCCAGAGAGTCCCAAGCATGTGCTGGTCTGTCCTCTGTCCCTCCGTCCCTCAGTCCATCTGAATGTACACACTGGTCCATCAGCATTTCACACGGTGCCTTTAGTGCTAATCCTGCAGGAATTCTCATCAGAGAGCGTGGAAGGGAGGTGGGAAACCTCCCCTGGGCACAGTGTTACAGCAGCTGGACTGGGCTCTGAATTTGCAGATGTTAAATTTGATCCCTGTGTATCATTCAATATTCTGCTTTCCCCAAAAGGTCACTAATACTTGTCAGCCTTTATTATTTTAATTTTTTTTTTTTTTTAAATCCAGGCTGATGCTCATCCCAAGTATTAAACCCCCATGGCCTTGCTGTTTCCTGAAACCCTTCGAGCTCTCGTGTGTACGCTGCTTTTGCTGCTCGTTCTCCCTGCCCCCTCCCTCTTGATCCGCCCTCCTCTCTCCCTCCTCTTCCTCACA